CATGAGTTTGATTTGTGTAAAGTTGTTATTGGATTGTTGGACGATTTGTGTTGGTAGTTGGTGTGTATGAAGAAAGGCAAAAGGGTTGTATTGAATTGACGATGGGATTGCATGTTGGCAAGAAGAAGGGCAATGGGATTGTATTTTGAAATGGTTGTTTCTCTTTGTACAACTTACCTTTTTTAGACTTAGCGCCAATTTTTAATTTAGCAGGCCAAGTGATATGCGTCAAGGTATCTTCCATGATCTAAATAGAAGAGAAAGGAGACATGTTGAAAAGGATGGCATTGCACTAGCGATCAACATACGCTAAACAAGTGGAGTAGAGAGTGTTTTTTTGGTGGGGGGGGGGGCTATATTGATGATGATACATGACAACGATGACGATAGTCTAGTATGACTATGGTGTTGGCGAGCATTGTTGGCTAGATAATAATCTTCATTTTTACCTTTTTGAAGAATTTTTCACCCGATTCTATCGGACCATTGTCAGTAGCTAAAGTGCAATCAACATAAAAAGAAGATGGGCAAAGTCAGTTGTCGATAGATGTAGAGACAACAAGAATGAATCAAGTAGACGACAAGCAAGGAATTTGGATCAACAATGATAAACAAATTGCAACGAGTCAAAAATGAAAAAGGAGGACGGGCTTGATGATCTCTCTCTCTCTCTCTCTACCTTGTAACATCTGTTCCAGCTTTCTTCGATCAACCCGAAAACGCTCTTCCATTTCATCCCCGGTACGCGTCTCATCGTCTTCATTCTCTCTTTCATCACGATCGCTACTAGCATTGCTGCTGTGATCGCTTGCCACAGCAGCCATAGTCGACGTGCTTCGTCCAAATCTCCAAAATGCAACCCGATTTCGATACAAATGCAATCAAGCACAAAACCCTGCAATCATATCAATCTTGCTACAACCTTCTACGTTCTCTACTGATCGCCGATGCCGACATTCACTCACTATGGACCCTTGGCAAGGGGCATGCGTACTCCAGCCGACCGATCGGCTGGCTGGGATACCATGGGCTAGCGTGCAGTGTACTGTAGACTACAGTACGAATGGAATTGCTTTGTACTGTAGCCGAAACGGCTACGACTGCTCGTGCGTACTCCAGCTGGACGATCTGCTTGCTCTGCTGCAAGTCCAAATACAAACGCATTCAAGCACAAAACCCTGCAATCATATCAATCTTGCTACAACCTTCTACGTTCTCTACTGATCGCCGATGCCGACATTCACTCACTATGGACCCTTGGCAAGGGGCATGCGTACTCCAGCCGGCCGATCGGCTGGCTGGGATACCATGAGCTAGCGTGTAGTGTACTGTAGACTACAGTACGAATGGAGTTGCTTTGTACTGTAGCCGAACCGGCTACGACTGCTCGTGCGTACGATCTGCTTGCTCTAGTACCAAGTCCCGGGTGCAAGCCGATTTCAATACAAATGCAATCAAGCACAAAACCCTGCAATCATATCAATCTTGCTACAACCTTCTACGTTCTCTACTGATCGCCGTTGCCGACATTCACTCACTATGGACCCTTGGCAAGGGGCATGCGTACTCCAGCCGGCCGATCGGCTGGCTGGGGTACCATGGGCTAGCCGCTAGCGTACTTGAATGTACTCTACTGTCAAAACAACAACTTCCGAAAGAAAAGTCAACAGAATAGTGTAGCTTTGTACTGTATTTCAAACAACAACTTCCAAAAGAAAATTCAGCAGAATGGCGTAGCTTTGTACTGTAGCAGAATGGACTGGATGTACTCTACTGTCCTGGTACTGCCGCGGTCCAGTTGGACTGACTGCTACACTACAGTACAGTACAGTACTGTATACCAAAACAACGACTTCCGAAAGAAAAGTCAACAGAATGGTGTACTGTAGCTTTGTACTGTAGCAGAATGGACTTTTTTTATTCTACAGTACAGTACTGTCCAGGTACTGCAGCGGCCCAGTTAGACTGACTGCTACACTGTACCAAAACAACAACTTCCAAAAGAAAAGTCAACAGAATGGTGTAGCTTTGTACTGTAGCAGAATGGACTGTACCGCTCCACTGTCCAGGTACTGCAACGCCCAATTGGACTGACTGCTACACTATACCAAAACAACAACTTCCGAAAGAAAAGTCAGCACGATCACCGTCTCAATCCATTTCTGTACTGTACACTGTATACTGTACACAGTTGCATCATCCATTGAGCAATCGAGTATTTATTTATTTATTTATAATATGATTGATTTCTATTTATTTCCAAGAGTATTTTCTATTTTGCATGGCTAATAGTTTACTACCGCAATGGCAGGAAAACCCCCAAAAGAGTCCTGTACTGTAGTGTACACAAGTAGTACAGTATAGTAAACGACTCAACTGGAAACGTTGTACTGCACGCTCGTCTTTCTTCCGCAGGCTAAAAGAATCGGTCAGCAACAACCGTCACTTTTGCCTTGACTGTCGACGCCATAGGACTCTACTTCTTCTAGCCTTTTCCCAGTACATACAGTCATGACGAATAACTGATACAAAACTATCCATGCAACTGATCGACAAGGGTCTCTAGGATATCGTAGTGGAGTCAGTCAGGTGGTAACGGAAGTTTTGCAACATGGTGCCAACTGGAAAGATAGACTGACCACCTCACGGCCTGTTCAACCACTACCCTCAATAGACTAATAAATCAATGGATCAAATCAATCACAGTACAACAACTTTCCACTGTTTCCGTTGGCTTCCAACAATATCCCCCTAATATGGACTAGGCAATCTTGCAATCATTGCTATCGCACTAGCAACAAACATCTGGTGCGAGGAGACTACAACTCGGAGTGATTCGTCCTCCATGGAGACTTTCAATGCACACAATCAATCACCGACTTTCTGGTACAAAGTAGCACGGAGGACGAAAAGAAGACAACAAGGTCTTTTTCTAGTAGGCCATGAAAGTATACGCATACGCATCTATAATGTACAGTATATATATACACTTAGACAGGAAAAAACAAGAAATAACGATCACTATACTAGTGATACTCGTCAAAACATAAAAAAGCCTTTTCTTTTGCCTCTATGGAACGGACCAAACGATACAGGTCCTATCAATAGACAGAGAGTACATAACCAGACTACTCGAATAAATAGGGCAAATTCATGGAAAGCATCCTTGAAAGACACACACATGTCTTGCCAATGTTTTCCCCAAAAGTAGTCGTAGTCTATGCTCTACATCATTATCAGATCTGATCACTACATGTTTAGCAACTGTATCATGCTGCTGTGATACTAATGATATGTACTAGATACAGCACAGACTGAGTCAACAACGCGCTGTATTGTGGATTTGTGGTACGTGACTGACTACTGTAAAGTGTAAACAACTCCAATGGAGTCAGAAAAGTTCAGCTCACTAGGCTGTGGATAGCTAGCTGATGAATTAATGTACTGTAGTTGTACATTGTTCAACATGAATTAGACCTATTGCAATAGAACCAAAAAAGTTTATTTATTAAACTCATGTATGGTTAACATCGACAGGAATTGTTGCAACACAACTAAACAAAGGTATCCATCCAAGTAATGAATGAATATACTGCAAATAGACAAGGTCTAACGTCACATCAACTACATTTTGGATCAGGTTGAATTAAAATGCATAAAGTATGCCTAGCAATGATTGTTAATTCACATCCTATAGGTGCTATAATATCAAATATTCTGTCTCGTAGTTAAAATGGGATGACGGCAATCCCAATAATCAAAAAATCGCAAGTGATACAATAAAATAGAAGATGAATACAATATACTTTCAGAATGATACAACTTGACTTCTAACAGCCCACTAACTTGTATCTTGAGATACAAGATTCTAATAAATCTCCAATCTAAACTCTAAATGCTAATTCATTTGCTAGGATTTCAATCAACACCTAAATGAATGCAACAATCCATCAACTTCCAAACCTAATTGCTTGTACGTACACAACTATTACATCGTAACGTGTTGATAACTGCAAAATGTAGTAAGGAAATTAAAGTGATCTCATTTTCGGTCTTGATAATAGAATCGAAATAGTTTCGTGAGGAAATTGAATACATGGACTTTTGCAGTCAAAACATGAAAACAAAAAAAGGCATCGAATAACAAGAACAAATTCACAAGAATACTATCTAGACGTCACCATCACTGGATATCTATACATTTCAAAACTTAATTATTACATAATATTAAAATAAACATCCTACTGTATTACCGACAATCAACTTAATTTGACCCAGCAATAAAAAGTACTATTTAGTGTTAAAAACAAACCATGACAGCAATAATGAAAAACTGTCAAGGATAAGCCGCTACTACTGTAGGTGAACGCATATGCATTATTTCAATCAAGTTGAAAATCCCGACATTACCAATTCAGTTGTGACAAGGGAAAACTTATCACATCGATTTAGAGTTTTCCAGCAGCCTCCAATAGCTTTTTGATCTCGTTGAAGAGATACAACTGACTATCTACATTAAGCCTGCGAATTTGTCCCAACAGTCTAGCTGGATCTTCACTCCTACGTGAAAAGAAAGCAAACTATCTTGCTGCATCTTAACGTTGAAAACAATTTAGCTAGTCCATTCCACTAATTGCTGTACATACCTCAGAAATGAAAAATAATAAACATGGACGAAAGTTGAGGTAAGAAGTTGACAGTCAAATCTGTCCATTAGACCACCATGACCAGGAATAGCTTCAGAAAAATCCTATCAAAGGCAATGAAACGATATAATGATCGTAGTAACAAGCTTGTTGTCAATAACCAATTGCACTGTATTATGAACCCTTACCTTAACTTTAAATGCACGTTTAAAGCCACTAGCAAAGAAACCACCAAAAGGAGCTATTAAAGAACTAAATATAGAGAAAGCCAAAGTGTGCACTTGAAGGGGATACATAATGACGGTTTTGTAATATATTCCCACCTTGAACGTAATGTTATAAAGGCGATTCTTATTTTACAGCTTTCAAATCCACTAATTTTTATAACATAAAAATATTCTACAAACCAATTGTAGCAAACTCTGTATTTCAACTGGAATAGTATATTCTTTTAATCGAAAGGCATAGGACGGATCACACTCTAATCTAACCTTGTTCAGAGTGCTGTTATACTAAAAATTTTTGGGTCACATCAGTAACACAATTATTTCTTGCAAAAATGAAATCAATTGCCAGCAACCTTACCTTTACTGGACAAACAAAATATTGATATCGAGCTAAGAAGTTGGTAAACTGATAACGCAGAAATAGAATGTTAATATATGATATCTTTAAGTGAGAAAGTGACGACTAACTTGGTTAAAATTCTATTACAATTAGCTTCACATAAACTCACAAGGAAACCAAAAATCAATGTAGAAAATAGGGCACCAATGAATCCTTCCCAGGTTTTTTTGGGAGATAACTGAAACGAATTACATCACGCTTTACACTCACATAATTTCAATCACCTTAGACTCTTTGTTAACTGTTAAATATAATGAGTATTTTAGTTTCACAGCAACTTTAGATACCTTAATAAGAGGAGTACGACCAAAAAAGAATCCTATTGGTACAAACATGTAAAACAAATTTTAAGCGTGGACATTAAGGATTATCAAGTTGACGGTGCATAAAAGTACCAAAATTTCAATTCTTAATATATTTAAGCTAAAAAGTATTTACACCCTACCAAAAATGTACGCCATAATGTCATTACAAATAACCAGTGATACAGGTAATAAGAACCTATAACAGGTAGTACCATAATCTGATCAATACTGACAATCAATCATGTACGTCATTATTATAAGTAAGTTTGATTAAAAAAATCTTACCAAATTAGGCCTTCGAAAATATTTTGAATCATCAGATGGGATTGAGCAACCAAAAGTAATATGATTATATGAGTCCAACCAAACTAGAATTTAATCCAATAAAATTTAAGCTTAGCAAAAACGATGTTATTTCTTATCGGATTAAACAAGAAACAACAAACACATCGATATTACCAACTTGTAGTATATATCATTAAAATATATAATTACATACCAAAGCAAATTGCACCATGTAATATCCTTTCTTTAAGGTCAGTACAAACAAGACAAAACCTATATTACCATTATTTATCAAAATTAGGCCTCCAGTGTAAATAGGACAATCCTAACATTATCTTCGATCTCAAATATTCCAAAGACAGTTGCAATATGTGCCTTGTAGGAGCTACTTTAAATTGAATACATGCATGATACAGCAAGATACTTACAACACAAATACATCATAAACGAAATGAATCGATGATACGAAGCAAGCGGTTGCAAGATTTCATCCTTTTGAAGAAAATTTTGAAAATATTGGGATAAACTTTCACCATAAAGAAAGTAGTTTACGGTTGCAACAAATGACCTGGAGGGCAAGATAAGCAGTGTCAATTTTATCTTCAGTGCTCTATCTTTTTATGTTAGTAATAGTTCCATCACAGTAACTGTCAGTAGTTATGTATAATGTAACAATTCCAACACTATATCGCAATTGAAAGCAATTTCAGTCAATGAACTCACTAATACCACGCATTAGAGCTCCAACTAGTCAATTTAATAAAGTACTATACATCATAGAGTTATCCTGTTAGCTGTCAGGGCTAGCAACATCTGCTAAAATTTACACAAAAGATACTTCTTTACATGCTATAGTATCGTACTATATATTGTGGTAAATATAATTAGCTCACTTACCAACTTAGACTCCGGAAAAATGGTAAATTTTCCTCCCTGTATTTTTTATGGCCGACTGCAATAATTTCGTAAAAGCAGCGAATTTGGATGCACATTACCTATAGGTGAATGTAACACAACGCGTATATACCATAATGCATATCATCTATAAACAGGATAAATAAATTATCAATTTAAGCACAAATAATAGACGCCTACCATTAATGTTAAGCTGATAGGGCCAGCGTAAATAACAGCTGCAAATAGAGCAAGTAATATTAGCGTAAAAATTGTACGAATCCACCAATTCTTCCATCTAATAATTATAAAACGGCAAGAGACAGAAATTATTGATAATTTTAATAGGTAGAGTAACCAATTGTGAACAGCTAAAGCAGTAAAAGCCATCCAAGTTAGTAAGTCACATAATGAATTAAAATTATTACCGCGACGATTTGCCTTGTACAGCTGCGGACGAATTATCTTGGGATTGCTGCTGGGTTGCAGACTCATCGCCGGAATGGGCCTACAAATAAGAAATGAATTTAAAAACTAATTATTAGAGCACATACATGTAAGATCAACACTGCAAGCTGTGACCGAATTACTTTTTAAGGCTATATAATTGAGGAAAGGCAAAGTTACAAATATACTCTAGATAACGAAGAGGGAAAATGTACCAAATGATTAAGAGTAAATAGGGTTTAGTCTCGTGCGATCGGCTTCAAAGGCACTTTTAGACGATTCCCACTATACTTAGTGAACAGTTATCGAGATCAGCGTTTACGTATTATTTGCAGTTTGCTATAGTACAGTATCATAAAAGCTGCATTTATAACTTATTGTTTAGAGAGAGTAATGCTTGACACAAGTCGAGAAAATTCTTAGCTAGTTTAGTCGAAATGTCATCGGGACTCGTATTTTATACATTAATTATATATATATCGCAACAGATCTCACCAACGTTACCAAGTCCAGCTACTATTTGCTAAATATGCAATGTACAGTACTGTACTCGAGTCTAGGAGAAATTTTTAGATATTATTAATTGCAGCCGATTGCATTTTTGTCAGTACAGTTCGTTTGAATGCAATCGATTTCTAATGATTCTCATTTCCACGAATAACGCCATAAGCGTTACCCTGAAATTAATGCTTTTGGTTGCAGGCTATAACGTTTGTATAGAAAACTTTCAATTGCCAGTTTAATTAATAGACAGACTACCCACTTCATTACACAATAGACATAAACGCTTATAATTTTATATACATAATTGATACAGCCGCAAATTGTACTGTATCTTCATTCTGTAAGATTTTGAATATTTCTACTGTGCATTACTACTAATAACTTGGATGATTTTGCAAAGCTCATTACAAATAATCTAATCCCACTTAATGGTAAGGCATCGTACAAATTTTAAATTTAAATTACTGTTCAGATGATTTAAAATAAAAGAAATATGAAGAAGTAAACATACACCAAATATGAGCGCACCATCAACTGAATTTAAACACCTGCGCGGCATTGTACTGTACAAAATGTAAAATTATTACAAGCATAAGATTTTCTAACTAGCATAAATGAAAGAAAATACTATGATTATAATAATATGAACAAAGGTATGCTTCAGCGAACATTGTTATTACAGTCTTGATCACAGTACGAAGAAAAATTAAAATGCACGAATATACCAATTCCTGTTATTGCTATCATGCCAAATTGGCGAGAAAGATGAGTAACAAAGGGCATCTACCAAGATATTACAATGATAATTGATGATGAAATACATCATAATTTTTCAGTATTTGCCACTGACTTTAACAGTTAATTAATTGTAACGACCACAGCATTTTATGAGTAACTCGAAATCCGAATCAAGTGATTGATTGCTTATTCACCGTCATTAGTTATAAAACATAACGTACAAAAAGACGTACGGTTAGTGCATTAATTGCCGATTTAAGATTATTTTACGCTCAGTATCAAATGAAAATACTACAATAAGATTAGACTATATTGTATCACATGTGATGGAAAATATTTATTGTACGCAAACCCATGTCTTCATTTCTAAACTGATTTAAGGTTATAACCTAAGATTGGATTTTGCCTGGGTAATTTATACCCCATGATCAGCTTATAATTGATTTAAGTTTTTATTGTTCTCGAACATTCAACTGAGAATATGGACGTTGTTATGTGTGGAATTGTATTAATGATAAGATGTTATTAGTCGGATACATAATAGACGCCAAATATCAAATAATGTAGAGGCGAAACCCTAAAATCTAATAACATAGGTTTTGCAATATTTAAACGAGATTTTCTGTATTCGATCAAAAATAGCAAATAATATGTACATCTTCGCTGTACGGGTAGTTGTAAATGACGCCTAGTACAAGATACATCATTATTGATGTATGATGTGCAATAAGCCAGATGCAATTATGAGTAAGTTTACTCTGCAACTATCATAAAATGTTTCATGGGTTGAACTAGGACTCTGTCGAGCATGAATAGCTTATAAATCTACTGTAAGCGTATACAATATGTGTATTGTACTGTTGACGCGCTGTAAAAATGTTATGAGAAAATCTGTAACGAATACATTAAACGGATACGTATTAAAAACATTTGATGATAATAATAATGATTATAATCAACGCTCTGAAGATGTGCGTATGATTTGGCCATGTGTGTTGGCAATGCTATGTAGGCAAATTTAAATGTTCGTGCAGCAACTACTGCTTCTCAGTTTATCTGTCACATCGATATCAAACGTCTGTTATACCCTGTACGATTGTGAGTTTCCACTAATGCGTTCTACGATTTCTAATGGCTACTAATGTTATTGGGTATTCTAACTTATGAAATGATACTGAGAACTATAAAAGTTGAAGACTTCTAAGACTTGTGTAGGTCTATACTAACTTGAAAAAGATCAATTAAAGCCATCCAAATTCAATTACTCAGGCGGATAACACCGCAGTTCTATCTCATCAATACAACGATGTACGATATACTGATGCAATATACGCGTATATAAACAATCAAATCGATCCCGTCATTGGAACTCTCTTGCCATGAAAAACAACAAGACACCTAACCAGACTACAGAAAAAGTTGAATCATTCAATTGAATGCAGCATTGATCTGCCTTATGGTATAGCAATGCTGTATGTCAGTAAGTATGGTAAGATGAAAGGAATGTTCCATTTAGTTACTACAGCAGCAGCTTTGTCATGGACTACTAGAAGAAAACTAGATAGTCTTTTTGTAGTCCATGGCTTTATCCAGTAATATTATTATTATGCTATTTATTTAATACAGTATTTACAGCTCAATCATCTCTCGAATGCCGATATCACTCAATCACTACATTGTATGTAATCCATAGCGATACAGCGCCATACGGCACTTGCCGCTAATAAGGTAATCATTGACTTTAAAAGTAGAGAAAATAGGCATAGACCTGAAAAGACAAGTCTGAAGAAAAGTGTCAGAATAAAAATGAAGAAAGGATAGAGAACAGAGTTCAATTTAATTAATGTATGATAGCATGGAACTGCAAACAACATATGCATGGTCGCTTCAACTGAAAGCTGTCATCTTCTAGGCACCCTTAAGGCCTACTGTACGATAGTGTGTCGTTCATGGCTAATAGAGTCGATTGCGTGAATTATTAGTGAGTTATCGACGAGCTTTGCCTTGCGATGGGCATGGTTACTAACGGTTCAATAAACGCTGCAGTAATATAGAATGACAATAATAATAACAACCCCAATGCAGACAAGGCAAGTAGACAAAAGAAAGTAAATAATTGCAGTTGTATGACTACTAGCCGAAAGCGTCTTGCAGTTCACAACATGTCCATAACTGGCTGTGGAAAGGCTATTGTGGAGTTGAATCGATAGTGAGTTTCTTGCACACGAAAAATGGAACGCTATAACCGCTTACTCGATATTTGCATTCCGTTGTCGTAGGGCCACCCGTGAACACTCTTCAGTGTTGTTTTCGTGTACGCTCAACGCTCAATATTGTGGCAAAATCATCTCATTCTTGTTCATCAAAAGGGACAAGCAAAGCACAAGAATGAAGCAAAGCTACCAATAAGTCAAAATAATCCAATACTACAACGAAATAGCCGTGTAAAGTAATTCCTCAACAAAGATACAAAATAGAAAAGATTGCTTACATTTTCCTTGGCAGTATCGCCTTGAACTTTGCGTTGCTTAAGTTTCGTACCACCGTCTGACATTTTCAGACTTGATTAATATGAATTCAGCAACGACCAGCAAAAGAGGATAAGCTGATCTCGACAAGGAGGACACAAGTAGAGTCCAGCCGTACAGTATAAATATACTGTACGGCGTGCTGTACTGTACACTGTACACTGTGTGTGTTCAGGGTAAGGGAGTAGTCACGTGACTCGCGTACACGACAGTATACAGTACATATTGTACAATGTACAGTACACAGTACGTCCAGTACAATTACTGAGGGTGGTTGGAAAGTCATTTGATATTAGAAGATAATACTGTACCGTACAGTACAGTATGCTACATTGCTACTATAGTGTACAGTGTACAGTACAGTAGCATACACTCATAAAACACTGTAGCTAGGTCAGTTAGTTCATAGTCAGGAACTTACTGTAATACGCAAATGCATTTTACTGTACTGTACACTCAGTGTACAGCAGAGTCCGACATCTTGTAATTCTATTTTACTACCTATTGCAGAAACTGCTCTCCGCGTTCAAAAACTTGTTCTGAACCTTATGCCCCCCTAAAATAAAAATAAAATTGCTATTTAAGCTACGCTCAAGTTGAACATAGTTGAACATGTTCTTGAACCCTTTCCAGCTTTTTCCTTTATGTTGTCAACCATGTCATGAAATATTGTGATGAAAATAGATTGAAATAAATTGAATACCAAAACCTTTCCAAAACTAATTCCCTCATGCAGAATCATATGGCTGTATGCTTTTTTCATCTTCAAAAGGAAGGATTATGATTTTCGCATTCACTGTACCATCCTTGACAAGTATATCTCTCAAGTGCCACAATAAGAAGTTGAAGTTTTGGAGGCGATGGAGGAGCTGAACATCGATGTACACCTACTACATGTACTTCAGCTAAAAACAGATTGTCTGCTGTCCTGCATAGGGAATACATATCGCTGCAATGACCAACAGCATTATGCTGCAGCTTACAAAGTAGAGAGTTTTAGATGTGTACAGTACGCCATTTTAATGAAAAATGGTGCAGACGAAACGACTCCAGATAGCTATGACGATATGATGAAGCGTGTGAGAACCTCCAAGACCTTTATGACAAACAAATTAAACCTGCAGATCAAAGAATTTTATTTGATCGTTTTCAGGAAAGTCGGTTGAAGAAACTAAAGTACAGTTTTATAGAAGAGCCTGAACGTGATATCTCAGCTTCAATGGAGCACTTTTCCCTCATATTGGCTAGGAGATTGAAAAAAAATTCAACCCCTTAATGCGCTTACCAGCAATGAAAAGTCTTTTAAAAACAAGAGTTCATCTCAGCCATTCTTATCGGCAAGTTGGATATTTATTTATTGACATTTGGTCAGTGGTAAGGAGATCTCGCCTTATACTGCTGCATTTATAGTGCAGTATTATGGAAAAATCGATTCGGATGAGTGGAATAATAAAAGCGAAAACTGTAAAACTGCTGTAGAAAGAGGGCTAAGACGTTTAAAGGAAAGCCACTTTCCTATTGTGATAATAATTGGATCCTTTTCTAGATTACATTCTCCCTGACATTGACACTTCTTAATTTAGGAGACTTGCCATGTCTGTACCAGGGGGGAGGGTCTATCAATGAACTATTTGCATTACTGCAGCCAACATTCAGAAAATGGAGATTTTGGCTTTTGATAAGGGTAAAGAGCATCAAGATGCCTGTGAAGTAGCTCAGGCGAAATGTGGTGGAGGTATTTTCTAGAAATCGATTTCCGACGCGCTTTTGAAGTGCTTGAAACCACGCGCGATTATCCTCAAGATAGGAATAAAAGGCTTGCAAATCTGGCAATGCAATCTCAAGTGGGTTATTTCATGCACTCTCCAACAGTGATACTTTCTCTCTACTTCAAGAAAATTCTGGACATTACTCAAAAGAAAGTATGTTTCTGAAGAAAATTTTCATTTGACATATCTTCTGAGCCTAGTAATACCTACCAAGACATAGATGCAAGAAATTTTCTTCGATGCTGTTCAAACATCTAAGTTGTCGAAACGTAAAATCTCCCCATGTACAGTAGTTGGGCAAGTAAGACAAGGCACCATGGAAATGAACAGCTTTGTGAAACATGGACAATTTGAAAATTTCATCTTTTGAAAGTAGAAGCAACATTTGCTATCACCCCGGCGAAGCATTATCAATGAAGATAGCAATTTCTACCTAGTCCTAATAAACCCTCTTTAAATAATTCTAATAGAGTAATTTCTAGAAAAAGCAGATCAAAACTTAGGCTATCAATGAGTAAGAGACTTCACTTCAGGATTAAAAAAATATAAAGTTATAATAATTGTACCTGCACTTCTCTTGAAATTATAAAGTTCTATTGTAGAGGAAGCCTTTGAATATATAAAGTGTGGATTACAGTACGAGTACTACCGCCAGCTTACTTTTTAAAACTAACTACTGTTGTTATAAGTATAACAAAACCAATTATTTTCCGATTATATAAAGTGGTTACGTGACCATGTACGGTTTGCTAGTTCCTGATAACATATAGTTAAAATGGTTCACTGAAGAATGCTTTACGGATTTAGATTAAATTTCCCGGGGCTCCGTAGTTAGGGCTAAAAGCACTGTCAACTAGCCAGAGACAGAATGTCAATTCTCTGGGTAAAATCAAGGGCTACTAGAAAGCCTAGGTTTCTTTCTAGTAGTCCTTGATAAAATAAACAGTAGCCCTGGGAATTTGATGACGGGATAGACTACCAATGCTTATGCTAAGCTAATAACCAATCAAAACTTTACCACACTGGTATTGCACAGAATCAAACTTTTATTGCGAGTAAATAGTTTACAAATTAACTGAGGATGTCAGTATTAGACAGCAATTGGCTGTTTTCGAGATTAAAAAATCGCATCACCAGCAATGCTTCAATACACTGTACAGTATAGTGTATATATATACATATATAGTTGTCCAAAAACTTACAGCATATTTTAAAGTGACCATCGGAATACCATATTACGTAAAACCGATGATAATAACCCGTATAAAGTAGCAATTATTACAAAATATTTTACAAAAACATCTGCAATTTCTTCCGTAACTGTTAGCTTAACCAATCTTAAAGTATCAAGAATAACTCAGTGCAAGGCCATTCAATATGCAGGTAGCATTTTCTTATCTACCATAAAGGCAAGACGGCAGTACATTTTATAAATAAGAAAGATCGTATATTAAAAATATAGTAGAGTATCAAGAATAACTCAGTGCAAGGCCATTAAATACGCAGGTAGTATTTTCTTATCTACCATAAAGGCAAGACGGAAGTACATTTTATAAATAACAAAGTTCGCATATTGAAAATATTGTAGGGCATTACCTTCTAATTATATCATTTGCGCAGGTAATGCATATACATTTGTATTACTAATAGCGTTGCAATCATATCCGCAGGACATACCATTGCCTTTAAATTGCCAAGATGGTCATGGATAAAAATCACAATGTCTGATAGTTGCGAGTTGAGTGCTTTCAAAATATCAGTTACACTAAACACAAATTATATGTACTCTTATGAATAGATTAGATTTCAATAAATTATATTATTCATGTTTCTATGTTAATACTACTCTTTTCCATATCGTCGGAAAATAAATTTTTGCCATATTATATTTAAATAGTATAAGACGGTTCCACGATCGTGTACTGTGCCTTTGTAAAAGGTTCCACGACGTCTGTGGAAATAATGGAAAAACTGAGGATATCGAAATCTTTCTACTTCAAGGCCATGACTAAGAATCCTGCTTAGTAGTTCCCAATCCTCACCTCCCCATTTATACTTGTAAATTTTGGTGTTCATGCCACCAATACGATCAAAATCCGACTTATAGATTCCTACAATTCCATAAGATTGATCTTCCCAGTATCCATTAGGTCGGCTTGGACTGTAATTACAGTTTAATCTTAAAAAATAGGGCACAAAAGTTGTACGTCGTTCGACTGTTCTACGTCGGACATTGTCAATGAAATTGTTTGGAATTGATAAATGTAAATCCATTAAGAGAACGATCGAATGTCTGTTAGTTACAGAATCTGCTCCCATTTGCAAACCCAAAGCTCTTGAAAAATGTCCTACCTTTCGGATGATCTTATATCGCTTCAAAGAGCTTCTCTTTAATAGACCATCGATATCGATGTCAGTACTATTGAAATCAACAATAACAACACTAAAATTTGGATCTTTCGTAGTGACGTACAACTTAGACATGTTCTCTATGAATTTCTTAAGCCAGTAACCTTGATTCTTCACCGATATTATAACCGTTACGTGAACATGATTCTTCCATCGCAGTCCACCAGGCAAACACAATACATGTTGGCCAATTGGTTGATAGACATAAGTCGATACACGATATAGAGGCGAATGATTTGATTTTCGAAGCAATAAATTGAGGAAGTACCGATCACCGTTTCTACTGTCGTGATTACGCTCAACGCTTACCACATTGTGTAGTATAAAGGGGTCGGGCAACTTACTGTTGATAGCTTTCATGAACTTTTTCACTATAAGCATTGCTATCGATTTATCCAGTAAATCATTGCCACGTACAAAGTCTCGCCCGTTATATAACGCTGTCTGATCATCCGGATAGACCGATATTTGACGGACGTGAAATACTGAGCCATAGTAGCCAACCTTGCTGTGTAACAGGTAACTAGGAGAATACGAACAATTTGATATTGCTTTAGTAACATAGGAAAAGTCTAAATTATTGTACTTGTAGAAATCAGATCGTAAATCGTGGATAGGCTTCATCACCACGAACTGGTGGTGGTGATCACTCTGTAATGGCTGATTCGTTCTAATGCTGTTGCTACTGCTGACGTTGGCATGATATGGATACAAAAAGTGATGGGTGATGACATAAAATGAAGAGCTCTTTTCATGATTTGGTAATCGCCATCCAACTTTAACAGAAGTGCCAATTTTAGATCCACTGACATGCAATACTTCTATGTAGTATTTACGACTTTTCATCAAGTAAATGGATGATGATACAGGACGGCTTTGGGTGTTTGGCGCTGTCCATGGGAGCGATCTCCACCAATGTTTGTTTTTACAACAAGAATTGCTTGCAATGTTGGCTATCAATGTTGCTTTTTTTTCATCTTCGCCTAACCACAGTTCTGATGAACCAATCGATTCGATAGCAAATTGGTAATAGCCATCTAATGGTGGTTTTATGAGACCAACAATACGTTGGCCAAAATTATCATCTTGGGAATTGACAACAGCTAGATTGTTAATCTTATTGGAGAATGTAGGCACTAAGGGGAATTGCGAATGTGATCGAAGAACATCGATGCTATTACCACACACTGGCGGTTCAGTCCATGCATACCATATGAGAGGACTACTTTGACGACTGGATTTTCTGGTGGAATGGGGATTGGTTGCTATAGAATTCAATCGCCTTAAAATCCTAATTTTGTGCAAGCCATGTACAGATGCAACTTCATCCTCTTTCCAAGAGGATATTAATAGATAGCTAATGATACCAAAAATGAACACAATCCATACCCGAAAGAATTTACGCCGCCATCGTCGACCCATTGGTATCGCTGCTATACATGTGTTAACATATTGGAAAAGCGACGATTGAAAAGAGTAATTGAATCTTGGATTGCTGCAAAGTTCACTTTAAACTCAACGCCACACACAATAATTGGATAACGAAAGGCCACTTTTACTTTTGCTGCCTCCCCCACCTCGCCAATAGTGCGGTTACTTCTCTACTGGCGCCGTACTAGTACTCCTACTTCCAGTGATAACGTGTTGATTAGTGCATTTATTACTGTATTCACTCCAACTGTACCGTAATAGCGTAACGTACAGTTATCAACTATTTGTTGCATGACCACATGCACTAAAAATAAAAAAAATCCAATCCAATGAAATCATCGCATGTTAATTGTACAGTACAGTACAGTACTGTACGTCAGGTCTTAGTCAGTACTGCTTTCTACTGTGTACAGTACTGTAGAGTACAGTTAATGATCGTTGTCAATGCAGTCATACTGTAGGCTCATAATCATTCATCGAGAACTTCCTGTCGTCATACTGGACTGCACTATGTATACCCTCCAAATGATCATTTACTTTACAGCTCATTAGGTATTGATAGATTTATTTTGAAAATCTGTACCATGGACTTCAGTAGAATCTACTGTGCTGTACTGTATCCTGTACAGTACTGTATACTGTACAGTACAGTACAGTGTACTGTGTAGTACAGACTGTACTGTACTGTACACTTGTACAGTGTACAGTGTACAGTTAATGGTCGTTGTCAATGCAGTCATACTGTAGGCTCACAATCATTCATCGAGGACTTCCTGTCGTCATACTGGGCTGCATTATACCCTCCAAATGATCATTTACTTTACAGCTCATTAGGTATTGATTGATTTGTTTTGAAAATCTGTACCATGGACTTCAGTAGAATCTACTGTGCTGTACAGTACGATATACACATACTGTAACTGTACTCTGCTGTCTACAACAGTAGAGACCCTCTAGAAGCAGTCTGAGTTGTTGTTGACTGAGACTTTCCAGATACAGTACAGTAAGTACAGTATAGCTACTTGCTACAGGATTCGATGTCAGTCCAAGCTGGCACGTCCAGTACGGTACCATATAGTGTACGACTGTACGTTGAGTCAAGTTCAGGCGTCATGTTCCACGATCCAATTTCAGATCGCTTGATTCTACTTCTGTCTTCTGTTACGGTATAAAAACTTCCATTTCCAAACGTTATATTATAGTGCGTTTTGCAATGGTGGACTATGTATGAGTTCATCATAATTATGATTATTATTAACAAACCAACCAGTACAGCATGTCAATATTCGCAATCAACTGGATTCAACTAATTAGCCAATGATCGAAAAATCTCCAAGATCAAGTGCATTCGGACTTCGACATGTGTGTGCTGCACGGTACTCTACACTCTTATTTACAAACGCCTTCAGTGTCAGTATTGTTTTGTTTTTGTTTTTTATTTAATTTTCAAATCACATTTGCAGTTGGAAAATGGTGTTTCATCGAATTCTACTTTCTAGTAAGCTACTGAAGACAGCATATAGAGTACTGTACCGTGCTACTGCCAGAGACTACAGTACGTACAGTGTACAGTACAGTACTATACACTGTACACTGTACAGTATAGTACCGTACTGTCATCATTGCTGTTACACCAAATGGAAAACAGAAAATGTCCACGTGTACACAGTACAGTGCAGCTAATAGAACACAACAGTACAGCGCAGTCAGTACTGTTATTGCTCCGCTCATACAGTGCCATACGATGTTGTACACTAATAAAGAAGCTATACAGTACTGTACAAAAGTGTACTGGGTCCAGTGTACACTAGAGAACGAACAGTACAAAAGTGTACTGTACAGTGTACAGTACATACTTTACAGTACTAGGGACTTACTGTACAGTACTGTACTGTACTGTACTGTTAAAGTTTGAAATCTACAGTACAGTACTGTACATGTACACTTACACGTCTTACAGTACTGTACTGTACAGTACCGTAAAAGTTGGTTCAGGTTAAGTCAATGCAGTACAGTACTGTAATGTAAAAAGATTGAAACTGATCGGATGCTCGAAAACAGTACAGTACTGTGTACTCTACACTGTACAGTACACAGTTTACAGTACGGTACGAGCTAACAGGTAACAACACAAGAAAAAGTCCCGTCAATACTGCACTGTACTGTACAGTATGTACTGTACTGTACGTACTGTACTGTGGACTGCAATGGACAACAAGCCTTTGCAGTTCCAACTTGTACTGTAGTGTGCAAGTCAAAACTGGACTGTCTCCATTTTTCCCGATTTGAAAGCCTTTCCCTTGTTGTAGGGCTACTTGTGGGCATAGTGTTAGTCTGGTTGTAGCCGAGTACATGGTATATATTTCGACATTTACAAAAACGACTAGATATAGTTATCTGTTTGCAATTCCTTAAACCTATTGGAACTAATTAGGTGGTTCGTTGGTGTTGTTAGCGTTCGTAAATTGGTAAGACTTCAAAATAGCGACTGATTGATTTTAAAATGACTGTAGATGTCACTTAATTCAATCCAATCAATTCATTAATGGAGGCAGCAGTTTCATCTTTGTTAGTGTAAATTGAATGGAGAAAAGGGAGCATTTCTGATAGCTTTACTCTTTAGTATTGATATACTCATCATGTTGGCAAACAACGTTGGGGATCTGTAGAAAAATTGCCACGCTTTTACTTGTCTTTGACGCTCTCAATGATATGAATTACTGCTGCTGTATAAAATGTTATACTGTACATGATCTAGATAGACATGAATATTGTGATAGTGGTATTCCAATACTTTGATCATAGTCTTAACGTTTACCAACCCCTCAGTGATTACTTGATCTTCTATAATTTCCTTTTAGTTAAGGTATATGTGGTGGACAGTGCTGTAATAATATCCACAAATGCTGTAGCATAAAATTGGCCTGCAACCATTAAACCCGTATAAAAAACATTTCGTTGACACTAAGAGACCCAGTGGCTAGCACATTACTTCGTTACGATATTGCTTATAGCAATAGTTTATTTGTAGTGACATCCTTTTCTCCTTCATTTATTGATGACACTTTAAGTCAGCACTACTGTATACTTACTTGAAGCTAAAATCTTTGAATATGCTCACCACAAATGCCATTTTACTGTACACTTTACGGTACTGCATGCACAAGTTGAAATCGACTTATTGTAGCGCCCTGGTGGTAAAGGCATGCAATACATGCTATAATAATAAATGATACCAGAAAAGTAGTGGCTGGCAACCCTAACTACATTGAAAACTTGAAATTGTTATTGAAAATGTTGTAACATTAGTAAGAATTGATGATGCCGCATCGCTAATTCGATAAACGCTGTTGCGGGCAAATACTTATAGTAAAAAGGCACAACGACATGACAAAATTTCTTTGCAACATTGTCCACGTAGCGCGTAGTACTTGACTTCCAAATCATTGAACATAAACGATTGGAGTGTAGTAGAATGTCTCTTAGCAGCGTCAAGACCGGATACTGGAGAGTCAAAAAAACTTCTACCTACTTTACCATGTAGACGCACTGTCTCCAACACATTGCATTCTCAAGTTTCTGCGCAGTACTCTACTGTACGCCGTACTGTATGTACTGTAGTGCCAATGTACTGTACACTGTACGGGACAGTCAGAACAGTTTATAATCCGAACCTTGAAGTCATACTACGTACTGTATTGTAGTACTTGTACACTGTACAGTATAGTTAAGTATGTCAGTCCCGTCCAGTACGTACTCTACTCAACCTTAATAAATGGCGATAAAAATTCAGTATTATTATTATAACCATTCATTTCTACTATATAGTACAGTACATGTGTTCTTCTGTTGTACTTTAAATTGTACTTTACCCTACGCTACAACGATTTCCTTCCACTGTGATAAAGGGTACAGTAGTCCCATCAATTTTGACAGTCAGTTCTCTCAAGTTATGGACCGCTTGTATGCCTTGACATTTCTGAACTTTTCAGTCATATTTTATACTCACTTGAAATAGTCTAGATTGATGTGCTCATGCTGTAAAATTATATTGGCAACGGCTTTCATGGTCTCCTATCGTTCACAGTCGATCTTAACATAAGATCTAGCAACCATTGCAAAAAAATCAAAGTTCCAATCAAGATTGTTGATCGGTCGTCTAGTATAGCTTTGAACTTTTGATACTTTTCTAACTTTAGAGTACAGTATACCGTATTGAAATAATGCGATGTACTAGTCAGTATATCTCTGAAAAATGAAATGATGTAATAGATTACATTATCATATCGACAGTTACTTCTGATGTAGCATGATCTCTCCCTAGTCCCTGCCAAGCCAAAGTACCAGCGTATGAATAAATTGATGTTTAGCCCTAGCTAACAATGTGATGTTATCACTATTGAAATTTTAGAGCATAGCGGATTAACCGGACGACTTAAGCATACAAGATACACAATTGACGAAAGATTTTTGTCAAAAGATGTATGCGATGTAAACGTACGGTAGTTTATATCAAGTAATTATACGTTTTGGAATTGATACACATAATAGTACAGCACTATATTTAATTTATGGGAAAGGCGTTAATTGAAGCGATCATCTATTTGATTAGTTTATACCAATTGGTTTACAACATAAAAACTAGCTAATTGATACACACTGTAGATATCGGAATATTCCAAAGCTAAAATATGGAATAACAGTGAACGTGAACGATTTAAACACATGAATTATTCTGATATGCACTGTATGAGTCTGTATCACTCTACACATTATGCTGCACAATCTATAAGATAGGTTTGATTCTGTAATAAATGTAATTAATAACCACTACTGTATTAGCACACTGATGGAATTAGCGATATTTACCGTCTTCTTTTCAACGATGACAGTTAAAAACTATTTATTTTAATATGTTGATCCACTTACAGGTACCCAGTTTATAAAAATTAAATTGAAATCGAGAAAGTATGAATCCACAACAGCCTCTTAGAGCCGGCCAACCGTTAACCTTCGCGCCACCGCCGACAGGATCATTCGCAAGACCGCCTTCTGGAGGTGGAAACGCCGTACCAGATAATCAGATGGGCTATGCTAGACCTCCTATGCCTCCGCATGGAAGTGCTCAAGTTCGTCCAAATCAACCTATTGGAGTTAACCCACTAAGTCAAGCACCACCAGTTAGGCAAGGACATCCACCAGGTAATTTTCCACGCTTTCCTGCAAATATGATGCCACCTACATCTGGTAACCATCCGAAAAGTAATTCCAGTGGTTATCAGCATAACCCTAGTGGGCAGCAGCCTTTTCCATTCGATCATACCGTGCCAGGTCACAATCAGCCTACTGGACCTCCAAGAATGCCGCTCTCTTCTCAGGGTCCTAGCGATGCTTTTACTTCGCAACCTCTTAAGCCTCCACAGGCTAATGCCGGAAAAGCTACTAGTGCACCTCCGCAAAAAAATCAAGAACTTTCTGGTGCCGACTACTTTAATAACTTAGATAACAGTCTGCAGGCTCCTTCACAAAGTGGGGCTGAAGATTTTCAACGGATATCAGCCAGCAATGAGGATGCAAGGATTCAGGATAGTACCTCTGTAACACCTCGTTCGACTGATCATGATGACAGTTCATCTGTTGGCTCTTTATCTCATGATATCGATCAGATTTCCATCAAAGATCAGGTAGTGAGATCAATTGCCGTTATAAATGGTACAATTTACCTATTTTAAGACATTATCATTTGTCTATAATACTAGGAGGGAACCCGTGCAGGAGTTGTTGGCACGAAAAGAGTGTACCCTAAATCCCAAGATCTGGCACCAAGACAGGTATAATCTGTAACAGTAGGCGATATTAAGATTTGTTTTAGATGATACAACGAAATTGAAATTTATTGCCCATTCATTTATATAAATTTTTATCATTTACAATTTACATTATAGAGTAACACACCTGGCAGTGTATCTCCGGTTCAATTCAATAACCAAGGACAACCGTTTCCTACCCAGCCCCAGAATGAGCAGCCGAATAATTTACCGCCATCTCAATCCACCAATGATTCTCGTTCGCCGCAACTATTTGCTGTTTCAGATCAGCAGACAGCTACTCATGCACAGCAGCCACCACCACACAATCGACAGTTTGCCATGCCTGGTCAACAAATGCCACCTTCCAGCATTGGGCAGCAATTTCCAGCGTCATCCCAAGGACTTCCAATGCCACCTTCCAGCACGGGACAGCAATTTCCAGCATCATCCCAAGGACTTCAAATGCCACCTTCCAGCACGGGGCAGCAATTTCCACCATCGTCTCAAGGATTTCAAATGCCACCTTCCAGCACGGGACAGCAATTTCCACCATCGTCTCAAGGATTTCAAATGCCACCTTCCAGCACGGGGCAGCAATTTCCGCCAGTATCTCAAGGACTTCAAATGCCACCTACTACAGGTCAACAATTTCCTCCTTCATCGCAAGGAGAGCAGCTACTGCCTCCAGGCAGAGGACAACAGTATCCATCTTCCTCACAAGGACAACAATACCCGCCTTCATCTCAAGGACAGCCATTACTACCTCCAAGCAAAGGACAAAAATATCCTCCCTCAGCTCAAGGACAGCAGATGCTACCTCCTGGTCGGGGACAACAGTATCCTCCCTTATCACAAGGACAGCAACTTCCACCTTCATCCCAAGGACAGCAGACGCTACCTCCCGGTAGAGGACAACAATTTCAGCCTTCATCACAGCAAACTCCGCCGTTACCACAAGGTCAGCAATTGCCACCCCCACCCCATGGATTAGCTTCATCGCAAAGGCAACAATTTTCACCTCAAGGACCGCTGACGCAACCTCAACAACAATCCAAAGGTGGCTTAGCTACTTTTCCACCACCAATGCAGTCACAAACACCAAATCGTCCATTAATGCCTCCGACGTCTGGAACACCAGCTGGAGGATTTGGCCAGCGTGGCATGCCGTCGCCAACTTCACAACAGTATCCTCAGCAGCGAGGCCCTCAAAAGAGTGCAATTAATCCTGATGCTATGCCAAATCCGGTGTGTATCTATTTTTAAATTCTATACTAATAAGTTACCCAGAAATATTATAACTCTGTCGTAATTTTCAAAGATTGACGAACTGAAGAACGCTCGTACAGAATTTCAAACGCATGTTAATGGTGTTTCGCCACCTCCGGTTATGATGAATTATTCAGTTAAGGAAGCAGGTAAGCAATATACACGCCTATATTGATAGATTTTATCATTTGATGTCGCTGATAGACTTTTCTATAGTAGCTTTTCATGTAATAATAAATGAAAATATAGCCGGTTCGTTAATGTAAAACGTAGCTACTATTATCCTTGCATCATATATTGTAGTTTCGAAAGTCAGAGGATTTCTATCTTGTAGTACATCACTGCGAAGTAATAAATCTGCTCTCATACACGAAATTGCAATAAACTAGCCTCTGTTTCGAATCTGTTAACAAAAATCTGTGTTTTGTTTAAATTTCAGTGAATTGTAGTCCACGATTTCTACGTAGTAGTATGTACAACATTCCAATTTCTTCTGGAGTAATGAAAGACACTAAGCTTCCACTATCTGTATGTATCCAACCTCTGAACAAAATTCCTCCTCAAGATCAGGTAACTAACTATTTATCACATTCGAGCGTCTCTTTAGACTGTAGTCACTGCTGCTAATTATAATGTACCCAACAACTAATTTCAATAGCATCAGCTACCAATCGTCAATACTTTACCTCATGGACCTGTTAGATGTAATCGGTGCCGAGCATACATGAATCCGTTCATGTATTTTATCAATAATGGGCAAAGATTTTTATGTAATCTTTGCAATGGTCACACTGACGGTAACTTGCTACTCCGTTTCTGCTTAAAAATCTCTATTACTAACGACTTTAACTTCTTGGTAACTGAAGTACTTTCATAATATTACTAGTTCCTCAAGAATATTTTTGCAACGTTGATCATCGTGGTATTCGGGCTGATAAAGATATGAGACCCGAATTGAATTTTCCTTCCTATGAATTCATTGTTAATCAAGATTACTGTCGCGTAAGTGATTTATCCGTGCCATATTTTATACGTTCTATAGCAATAAAACTGGAGACTAATATTAATGCTTGTAAATGTCTTTTAGAATAACAAATTTCCAGAAACCCCTGCATATGTGTTTGTAATCGATGTTTCATACAATAGTATCCAATCTGGTATGGTTAACCTATTATGTAGGTCATTGTTACCCCTTTTGGATAATCTACCTCGGTAAGTGTCACTTGTGAGCTATGTTGGTTACGTTAATATTCCTATTACTGCTATTCTATTGTACCGATAATTATTAATATTTAACTGTGTATAACATTTAGTGTTGATGGTGCCGATGACTCCGACATTCGTGTGGGAATTATAACATACGACAAATCAATACAGTTTTATAACTTAAAAGTGAGTCTTTTTTCTGTTTAAGTTATTGCTAGCGATTTGTAAATATTCTCGTCGAACTTCTTTATTCTAGGATAGTCTAGTTACACCCCAGATGCTCGTGGTAGCTGACACAGAGGATGTTTTCATACCGCTCCTTGACGGATTCTTTGTAAAACCTGCGGAAGCCAAGTCAATGTTGCAAAGGTTAGATTCTCATACGAATTGCTAGCAACGTTAGTAGACTTATTGAAGAAAATGCACATCCAAATAATCCATTCGATTTATCTATAGCGTGGCAGAGCAAATACCGGCAATGTTTCAAAATTCTCGTCATACAGAAACAGTCCTTGGGCAAGCGGTGAAAGCTGGCTTCCTTGCCTTAAAGGTTGTTCTTTTTACTTGTATCATTTTTGATATAGCTTATTTTTCTTATCAGTTTCTTTTAATTATGGAATAAAGGAAGCGGAACGCTGTGGTAAAGTCTTTCTATTTAATACCTCATTACCCACCGCAGAAGCACCGGGTAGATTAAAGAATAGAGATGATCGGAAATCGTTGGGAACTGATAAGGAAAAAGTAAGCCTCGTTAATGCGACGACATCGTTACTGCAACTGTTGCAAATACTCTATCTAAATGACTCTTGCCCTTATAGAATTTACTTCAGCCACAAATTCCTTTCTACAAGAATTTGGCTAAAGAATGCGTAAAGCATGGTGTTGGTGTAGACCTATTTCTGTTTCCTAATGGATACACTGATGTTGCCACAATCGGATGTCTCAGTTCTGTTACTGGTGGTTCGATATACAAATACAGTCATTTCAAGGTGCGATGCATACGTGGTTTCTGAAATTTTAACTTGTACCAGAATGTTAATCTTTATAATGTATTGGCCAATTTTTAGGCTGCTCAAGATGGTGCACGATTTTGTTCAGACCTCTCAGCAAACCTTAACCGTGCTGTTGGCTTTGATGCGATAATGAGATTGCGAACGAGTGCAGGCAAGTTTAGATTCGCCAGTTGACTGTATCGAAGGACAAATGAGTTGTTAATCATGATGACTTTTACCAATTAGGCATCCGTCCAACAGATTTCTATGGAAATTTTCATATGGAAAACGTGACAGATATCGAATTGGCTACTGTAGATTCTAGCAAGGTAGATTAGTATCATGTTTAAAGGTGCATTACTATATTTCATGCCAAACACTAAAATTAAGAAACTGCTCGACGGTCTTACTTTTATAGTCTTTCAACATAATAATAAAGCATGACGACAAACTGGAAGAGAACCGTCTTGTACATTTGCAGGTTAATTTTCGGCTCCTTAATTCTTTAAGATGCTTCTAAAATCTTACTAAAGGAAATATTGTTTCACCACTATTTTCTTATCCACTTTAAGAATATCAATGTTCTTAATTATGTCGTGGATACTTGTATTAATTACTATACTTGTCGTCCACAGGTTGCTCTCTTATATACCAGCATTAACGGTGAAAGAAGGCTAAGGATACACAATATTTCATTTTCCGTTGGAGCTACAGTGCAAGACGTCTATAAAAGTTGTGACCTAGAAACTGTTCTCAGTACTTTCACGAAGATAGGTAAAATAATTTCTGTTAAAAGTTACAAGTTAATTGTAATCGTAATCATAGAGCTAACTAAAGTTGTGCTAGCAAATATTGACTTTTAACGAATGATTTACATTGATCAGCCGCCTACAATCTGCCATTAAATTCTCCAAAGAATATCAGAGAAGAAATAACGTCACAATGTGCACAAGCTTTAGCCTCATATAGGAAGCACTGTTCAACAGGATCGCCTCCTGGCCAGGTATATCTATTTGCAAAGTTGCAAGGATATCTTTACTACTTAAGCGAAACTCTTCGAACCTAAAATTTGTAATTTATTATACGCAGTTAATTTTACCAGAATGCTTGAAGCTTTTGCCAGTTTTTATCAATAGCTTTCTAAATAGTGACTTAATGAGAGGTAAGAAAATTGTCCTAAATGACGCTGTTACTCGTATCTGTAAGCGTAATACGATTTATTTAATCTAAGGGGTGGAGATCTCGATTGATGATAAAAGTTGGCTACGACATTTAATGAATAGTATGAAATTGGAATCTCTATTGACGTCCTTATATCCTCGTGTTCTGCCATTGGTACTGTCGATTTATGAGAGCCCTTGTAATAGTTTCACGTTTATAATCAACAAATTATTTTGATCATGTAGCACAACTTAAACTTAGAGAGCAGCAACGAGCCCTCTCCTATCCGTTGTACTCGAGATAAACTGGAAAAGAATGGTGCATACTTCTTAGGTTAGTATTAAGTAGATTTATTTTTCATAATCTATACATGCCAGCTAAATCATTTAAAAACAATTATTTTAGACAATGGGCTAGTGCTATTTTTGTGGATTGGTAGTAAAATCGACACGAATTGGCTTATGAATGTCTTTGGAATTCCTTCTTTTGCTGAGTTGCAGCCGGAATCCATCGTATGCTTTTTAGACTGCATTTTCCTAGTTCCTTTTCAAATAGAATACTTACCTGAACACATTGTTTTTTTACTCTTAGAATACAATAATAAAGTTAGATAATCCATTGTCTGAACAAATTCACCACATCATGGGACAGATACAAGCAAGAAAGGATCGCTGTTTGAAGGTATATAATTTACTTTGTAGTAGCAAGCGTATATGATTTGTGAATCAAACCGAACTATATACAGTATATTTATCTATTATTGACTGTGCATGATACTCAATCATTTATATACTGTAGCTAATTATTGTCAAAGAGGAAGATAGAATGGAACCATGGTTTAATTATTTCCTTGTGGAAGATCGTAACCGTAATCATCCCTCTTACGTGGATTATCTCTGTTTTTTGCATAAGCAAATACGTGAACTACTGGAATAGTGAAGGGACTGTGATCAATGCTTGAAACCAAAATCTAGCCGTTGCGTTAGAAAACTAATATAAAGCCACAATTCGATATTTTTGGAATATTATTAATCATATAATCGAATAGTGGATAAGGAAAGAGTGAATTAATGTAACTTGATTGGTTCAGTATTAGAGATCACATGACATTAAACTTATCGGATATTATAGGTATTACTTTCAATATTGTTTCATGGAATAGAATTTTTGTTAAGTATTATTATTATACTTGATAATGAGTATCATATTCATGCAATTTGACTAGTAACTATCTAAATACTTTATTTTATCCTACGCATATTTTACACAACTACGTACGTAAATACTTTAAGACATATGTACTTTATATAAATGAATCTATTTGATGAAGGTATCAATGAGGCATCTTATCATAGAAAAAGATACATATTTTAAACTGTCAAATTGATACTGCAGTGTAGTGGTTGATAGGCCATTCATGTTGCCAATAACAAATCTGTTGAAAACGTTTATAAAGCTTTGAAAGATGAAGCTGTGGCAAGAGATTTTATATCGATTAAAAATGGAAAACACTGATGTCATATTGTAAACGACGATAATTACTACTAAGTGAAACTGTAAATGATTAACTTTAAAATTAAATACATATTAAGCTTAAATAATAATGTTATTTTTACACCTGCATGCTAGACAGTAATTTTACTGTACCACTTCTTTAAATCCATGGTCAACTTCAAACACTGCATGCGATCCGGTTGATGTAGAAATTTCGAGCTAGGTGATTAAAACTAGTAAATTGGCCCTAGTGATCTGCATTTATTGCTATGCTATAAACAAGTATGGCTCTATTCATACGTAAAGATACTTTACATTATGGACGCTCGCTGTCTATATTTATAATTTTAAGTGCATAATTGTCAACAATTACGATCTACAAATTTTAACATAAATAGAGATTTGCTAAAGTCGGCAGGAAGTAAACAAGAAAACTACTATCAATTTTTTTACTGGTTTAGTAATAGTAAATCATGGTAACGTATTGACATTCGGTCAAAGCTACAGCACAGCACAGTGCATTGATATTGTATTTTTCCTTAATATTTCAAATTCGTATACGTTCAAAAGCAATTTATAAATTTTTTTAATACTGATACATATAATTGATCACGTTGAAATAACATACTATAACACAGGTTATAGCAATACTGCTTTTTTGTTGTCATTAAAAATCGGGCTATATCCAAATTGACAGCTTTATGAAGGCGTACTAGTAGTAGATAACTGCAAATTGCCTTAAAGCTGAGTATCATGATTATGTTCTAAGGAACATTAAAGAATAAGTAATAAAACTCGTATAATCAGTATGAGTAGCTCCATTACAGAACTTTAAGCAATTAAAGATCCAGTATTCGAGTTAAATAACATTCGATTATTGAAATAGACACGAAATCTGATAAAAAAATTGCCTGACGCTAAATTTTTCCGTTTTTATCTATGATAATAATCTGATTAATTGACTATATAATTAATTAATTAATTAATTAATTAATTTTGTCCGGTTTTAAAACAATTTTAATTGTCTTTATCACTAAGTGACATTAAATTAGTCCATTCACGACGATTATCCATTAAGCGATCGTACATCGGGCGCAATGACGGAGAAATATCAGCGAAGGCCTACAATATATAATAAATAAGATGCGGCAAAATTGATCTATGGTCTATATTGCAGTGCAATCGTATTAGTCATGAAGCAGGAATCACATTTAGGATCAACTCTACAGTATTTGTGTATTTTTCACGAACCTTATATAATTCGTCACATATAGAATCAATAAAATCTACTTGCATCTGTGGTAAACGATCTTTGCGGTCACGATTCATCAAGTCCTGTTATAATAACAAGACAATGTAATTATCACTTCCTCCTTCTACGAGTAAATCATAATTGATAATATTATAACTTACAGAAGGGGTAACATTTAGTTGTTCTCTCTCTAAATCACCCTGTTCAAAATATTCATTTGTAACAAGTTCTGCAACCTACATAGGAAATAAGCTTTATTATAATAAAGTACATTATAATTTTCAAATAAATTCATGAATAACTTCTACAGTCCATACCCTCTGCTCAACTTCCCAAGGCTTCGTTATAGCAGCTAAATCGCACGCTGTCATCATCATTGCTCTGTATAAAACCCAATAAGTTATACATAGGTAAGCATTATTGTCTAAGGAATTGGATTATGACCATTATATATTTACTCTATAGTAACTCATGATTCGAAATCTTATTATAAACAGTTTCTTAACCATTTAATAAACGCAGACAAAGTAAAACCGCGGCTATGCCACAATATACAGAAGACGTGGCAGGATAAGATTAATCAATCATAATAATCACCTTAATAGCATCCTATTATTTGGATCTGACCAATCAGTGGAGCGACTTGCTATCTTACTAATAAATTCTTTACGATGCCTAGAAACGTCATATAAAAAGCGTATTAATTTTTACACTTGTATATCTAAATATAGTATTAAATTTCTTGTTAATTTTAAAGTTAAAACTAAGAGTCTACCTAAAATGTAAGGCCAAATCCGTTGCTAATATAGCATGTTCTAACATTTTGACCACTGAGCTGTACTGTGATGGCGTTAACTGTGCAAAGATGTTATTGCCCTTCAAATTAAGAACAAGAATGAAAAAGAATTAATATAAAGCTCTCTCTATAACAATCCAAATCAGATCATCCATTAATTTACCATATACCTCGCTATTAAGGATCATAATACAATGATCAAAGTGATGATGTTCCATAGTTGAAGTACTGTATAAATGTGCTAATGCTGATTGAGTTCTAAACAAAAGAATAATGATGGTCGACTTTCAAATATCTGCAATTTTATTCCATAGGCTGCATCGAATGACACAACTTTGAGTAATGGTTAAGTTGAACCAAAGGAAGGTAATTAAGAAAGAATATAGTTTAAACACTGTATAAGCGAACATAAAGTGCGAAAATCATACTTCAATTGAAACGCATTGTTCGTGCCCCTATGATCTAAATCATGGCAAAGACAGGCTACTAACAACGACAATTTCTCCAAGTCATTGAGAAGACCGCCGAACTCTTTCGCCTGAAAGGATAATTATGCCTTAGCTATATTACGATAACCGATCTACTATATGAACATAACCTCAGTAAGTGTTTCATGCAGATGTCTTCTCTTAAAATAGTAAATCACCTGAAAAATACGGTACATAGTCTGCGCGACATTAAATGCATGGCGCCAGTTATGATAAGCGACATTGCGATAGTTCTTTTTAATGCTCAACGTCCATCTACAAAGAGTCTGCAAGATAAGAATAAAATCTGTTAAGGTATACCTCATAGTGCATGATACGTGCTAGAACATGATATTTACTTATGTATAACATTACATTACAGCATTACCTGATAATCCATTGCTCCTTTAGTCGTGAACTGCAGATCTCTAAACATACTTAACGTTGCCTTCACAGTTTCATAATCGGACAATGTCATATCATCAAAGGATAGTTCACGCAATTGATAATTTACAGGCGGTGGAATAGGCTCCGTCTATTATAAAACAGCAAGGAGATGCAACAACGGGATGCTTAACAGAGTTTACTTTACTTAGTTCACATCACAGAATTATTCCATGATATTATAATGACTTACAGCAAGGGCTATAGCTTCATTAGTAGAGGCAGTTGCATGGTACGATAGTACCTATCACAGAAAGATTTTTTTTCAGATCCAGTAAATGATTTTAAATAATCTCTATACTATTAAATTATTCATTAACTTTAACGGATTTAAAAAAGGCAAGTAAGTCTTACTTCCAAGGCAACAGCTTGCTTCGCCATTGCTTTACATACGTCATCATACATTTTGGAGTTGTATATTGCAATGCCAACGTAAATTGCAAAGGCCTTGAATGTAATAGGCAAATAAAGTTAATAAGCAAAATAAAAAATTTTGATAGTAAGAAGTTTGAAATCCTAAGAATTTATATACTTCAAAAAGGTTTTCGTCTTCGATTTCGAAATAATTACTGCCATTGCTTTTATTAATTAGCTGCATTGCTCCTTTAAGTGTATAAAATAATTTGGTACAAACTAGTGAAAATCTGAAATTGTTATTATTTCTAATCAAAGATACTCAAATACATTTCATCAGTAAAGACTGCTTAGTTTCATATTCTCACCTAATAATCGCTGGTTTGTTCTAATTGGAGCACATAATATTGTTTTAGTTTTGAAACCGGTAGCAATATCTTCCTGTAAAATCACCGAATTAAGATTAGATCAAAAGATTTGCCATTTGACAATTGATTCGATTTTAATAGCTATTAGAGAAAATATAGTACAATATTCAAGTAAACAACTGACTACTTGTCACTGCTGGTAGTAAATATCTTATTAGGCAAAAAGTTATGTAGTCGCAATAATGACAATTTCAAAGCTAAGTGCTACCAACAAGTACAGAAAATCAATATCAAGCAGATTAATTGATGAGGATCGGAAAAACTATAACGAACTTACGCTTGGGTCGAATCTTTCGTCAGTACTAACATCACGAATATTCAACATCTTCAAGTTCGAAGAAATAAAAGCCGTTAAGATACATCTATACATTTTTTAGCTCTTTTAACTAGCCCTCTATCTCCATTTCAAAGGTTATTGTGATCAGAAACGAATAACATTGATTAACATTCCTGATTCATACTCAGTATTTAATATCTATACTTACCAAATAGCAATAAAACTTGGTATGATAACTACAAAAATTTAAAACTAGGCAATAGTGTAGCTATATAACTATTACTAATCAAGAAAATTTGAGCTCAAAATCATAATAGTAATTAAAAAAAATTTCAAAGTTGTTTTGTAATACAATTACTCTAGCACATCATTAGTATTATATATGTCACAAATATTGTGATCAAGATACCTCGCCTGTGGAAGCAACATAATGTGTAATACCATAATTCAGATGGCGAATTGTAGAGGAACTATAATATTAGAAATTGCAGTATGTAATTACATCATTATTACTAGAAAATAAATTATCGAATTATACGTAATTTCAATGTTTGCTTTCATTAACTAGTACTGAAATAGTCTAATTATACAAACCTATCGCCAGCTTTATCTCCATTAGCAGCTACTGCAGTCGATTCAGTATCAAAGGTTTGACTAAAATCCTGGTAATGTAAGTCAATATATGTATTCGTTACAGACTACCAATAATTTCAAATATTAGACATTTAGTGCTTATAACTTGATCACAGCGAGCGCAGACTGAAATTGAACAATAATATATTTCTACGTCTGATAAACTAAAATTATCTAATCCAGATGCATTTACACTGCATGCACGTGTAAATTTACGTGTACAGTTAAGTTGTACCTTGCCGGAACTGTTCAACATTAGAACCGAGCAGTATTCGCATGAAAATAATGACTTAGTTTGGATCAATATTTGATGAACCATATTCGGTAAAGTACTTTGCTCCTCAAATATGATTCTTGCTAACTCTAGTAATACCTGCGGAAATGTATCAAGGACATAAATTAAACAAAATGATTGAAACAAAAAATCGTAAACTACCTTTCAATTTTCCTATTGTTTGATATTAAACAGCGTTACAAACATACTTGATTTCTTCTCATCTCCATAGCATTTTTTTCAAATAATTCGGCATTTTGAATACCAATAGCACAAAATGTTAAATATGTACTAAAGATCTATAAAAACCAAGATAGAATGTTTGTGCTATGAAAGACACTAACAAAGGATATCATTACGGTGAGAGCCACTATAAGGACTTTATTACTAGTACAGTGTTAAGTAATTAGAAGTGGATAAAGATTAAGGTGGGCTCAAACTGATTGCATGATAAACATAAGATATCATACTTCATTCTTAATAGTAAGAGAAATGAAATTGACCCAGCATTCATTATTACCGTTTAAATTAACAAATACATCAGTGCAGTGTTCAACTTTATAATTGTATTTAAAGTGTTATAGAAATGCCTACTAAAATCAAATATACCAACAGAATCTGTTGACGCAGTCAATAAAACGTCATCACGACAGTAGAATTTCTAAAATAAATGCTACCGCTTTTTTACCAAGGTTACCATGACAGTAGTGCATTACCTGTTCATCTCTTTTGGTGAAATGATCTTCTCTATTTGTCATTTTGTTGATAACTTGCGCAACTCCAATGATTTCATTATAGTTATTGGCTATGGGTACACATAATATACTTCGTGTTCTGTATCCCGTTTCGACATCAATGCCTTTATTAAAACGTGGGTCCTAAAGTCAGATATGATAGACAGCAACAAAGATAAGTTAGCTTATGGATTATGAAAAGAAAGAACAATCAATAGTTAAAAAATCGAACCAGATAATGCTAATCTTAAAAATCAATATGAAGTGTATAAGGGCAAAGCACTCTGCATAGCCTTGCCGTAAACAATTCAAATTTTTGAATATCTTACTGTATGATAAGAGATGCTAAGTAACTTCGCAATCAGCAGAATATCACGTTAAAATTATTGTTTGTATATCAACAATTAGTATACTATTCCTGCACACAATGACTACAACAGAATACAGTATGACAAAAGCTGCAATCATTTAATGAGAGACAGCTGCAAATCGTTACAGGATATACCTTGTAAGCATCAGGGATGTTTAAAATTTCGCCAGTTTTAGCAGTATAGCCAACGATGCCTGAACCCCATGGAACACGTATAGGTGTTCTCTTCTCGAAAATATCTACTCTTGAATCACAGTTTACGTCGAACACTTTAGCTTCTAAGTATCTATCTATGCCGCGACCACGGACAAGAAATAGAGAGCAGCGATCAGCATTGACCAATATACTAACATTTTGTAAAATTTTATGACATAATGACGTAACATCTAAATCGTTGGCAATATCTTTGACTAATTCCAGTAGCAATTCTTTCTCATTTAATAACATTAGCTCTTTTCTTGTCTTTCTTGGTGGTCTTAATGTTGGCATAGTTCTAGATCTATCGCGGTAATTAATAAAGCTAGGCTGTCCATCGACTGTAGTTACAATTTTATTTAATGTTCCAGTTGATTTACGTTCACTGTCATAATGATAAAATCGTTGAATTGGTGTACTACAAGATGAACCACACGGTGAACCGTCAGGTGTATCACCTAGGGAATCACTTAAAATGTGATTTTGTTTAATCAAATCTTCCAAAATTATTTTGCTTGATTTACGATTCAAGTAGGACTGTAAGAAATCAGGATGATAATCTAACCAAACTTCCACTTCATCACCTTCGAACTCCGGCACACGATGATTTGATAGTTTATCGGTAAATTTTTCATCAGTTGACGAATCGATGTGGACGTGAGTTCCTCCTCTATCTTGACGATCATGATTGTTGTCATGATTATCATCAGCTCGATGCGGTACACTGGAGGCAGAAAATGATCGTTCTTTGGTGATGATATGACGATTAGTATTATTCATAATTATGTATAGCCAGTAAACGAGCAATAATATAAAGTATGCAGGACTGTAACTGATAACGATGATAAAAAGTCAACGTCGACAAACAATATTCTCCTTCTTCCAATTTTACAGCAATATCTTTTGATTTTCTCTTCAAATTGTAATTTTCCTTCTTTTTTAGTTATTCAAATATAGTATAACCAAATTGTATCGAATGACAATAAGCATGAACGCAACTCGGAAGACGTCTAGCATGCATTAAGAAGTTAAATGGAAAATGATATTGAAACGTCAGAATAACGATAATATACTCAAGTTGTCTAGAGGTGGCATATGAATAGAGAGAATTGAGAATGGAAAAAAAAATACTTTCTAACACGCCTATTGTTGGTCCCAATAACAGTGATGTTATTATTTATCTAGAGAAAGTAATTATAGGAAAAGAAAATGAGTTCAATCTTTAATTTTAACTTTCCAATAACAATAACATCTTAACAAACAGTTATTGTTAATTTAGTCAAAGGAACGACTTTTAAATCCAAAGAACATCATTGACATGCAGTAGTTACCAACTATCGCAGACAAACAAGCTAATTGACATATTTAGTAGCATCACGAAAAAAAAGAGACAGTAGTACTGTAGGAGACTACAAAAAAGGCAAACAGTCCATTGGAAGTCAGCAGTAGTACGTGATGTATTTCAGCTTTCTCTACAATTGCTAGTTTGTCCCGTATCGACATTTTGCTTTATTTTACTATGAGAAATGAATGGACAAAATAGAAAAAATGACTTTCTACAGATACCAACGGCCTTTTTTATCTTTAAGCAAAGTAGAAATCCTTTTCTACAGATAATATCGATCTTTTTTCTACAAGTAAAGTATAAATGACAACAACGGTAATGCATTATTCTTGTGGCCCTATAGATATGCAATAACGTTAATTGGTTGTCAATGCAAATGATACTATTACTGATTGCAACAACTTGATAACAAATCAACCCTACTTCTAATTAATCGTAATTAGAAACTTTTCAAGCAAGTTATGTCAAAAAAAATCAGCCAAGTAAAGCAAAGTAAGGGAATGAAAATAAAAATACTTTATGATAACATTTAAAATCGAATATGAGGGTTAAATTATCTTCTAATTAATTATTTAACATGCTTATCGTACGATAAACCATACTGTACTTGTTCAGCACATTCATTATAAGCCCTTGTTATTATTATTATTGAAATCATGGATAGAAAAGTGAAAGACGGCCCATAAAGAGTGCTCATTGGCAGCCAAGGTAGCAATCGCTAACTTGAACGTGTCAATTTTTATTTTTATAACGTAGCATTACCTTGTGTATCAAAAGATTTCTAATGCAAGACACAAATTACTGGCTAGTGAACTAAGTGATATAACTGCTACTATACATATTTATCCTCCATATCAATACTCAATTTAATAGTAAATGGAATCGTTATCATACAGCACCTCTTTTAACCAAACTTGACACAATTACAAGGCTATTTATGGGCCTGATTTAAACTAATTTCAAGCAGGACTGACAAGCTATTACAAGAACATCATGAATGAATTATTTATGATTCTGTAGGTGTAACGTAAACTATTCAAGATTCAATTTCCGAATGGATCATGACAATTTAACGTCTGTATTATCGATACTTTCATCAATGGATAATTCCGAATTCTGTCCATGGGCTGCCAATTAACACTATCTTCAACAAATACCCACCCACAGCTTGTAAAAAAATGATGAATTCCTTGTCATTTGTTGCAGTATCTTGGCAACCAAATTGCACATTATTTGCATGTTCCCAATGATACCCGATCGATTTCTATAGGCAGTGCTACTATCTAAATTTTAGTAGTCGTTGATTTACTCTCGTACTTCTGTTACCTTGGATAAATAACTTTAATGTCCACTATGGAAAAGGACAAAATGTGTATGGTATAAATTAGGGTCAAAACTCCAAATTAGCCAATATAGGCTACTGTCTGAATTTTGTTAGTCGTTGATTTACTCTCGTGCTGCTGTTACCTTGGATAAATAACTTTAATGTTCGCTATAGAATAGCACAAGATGTGTATGGTCTAAATTAGGGTCAAAACTCCAAATTAGCCCATCTAGAGGTAGTATGATGATACGATATTGACCGCCTGTCATGCTCCCCTTAGGTAGGAATAAATCATTATACTTAGACATAAGAATTTGACTTGTCTAGTAGCAAATAGGTATGGAATGATAATTAATTAGCGTTCATTTTAGGTAAGTTTTAGCGTGACTTTGGAAAGCCCTTGAGGCAAATCAATACTTGCAACAAGTCTATTCACGAATGCCATTTATGATGCTATGCCATGAGTACTTTAATGTTCAACACTACAATCACCGACCTATGGAGAACGCACTTAATGAAATTTCGATACTCAGCTACTTTATAGCAGCCACTTGAATGCATCGAGATAGAAATCCATTTCCAACGCGAATTGAACAACAATTCCTAGCGTGAAAACTTGAATTAATCTTTTGTTGAACAAGTTTACGAAATCCGTGAAATTCGTGCAATGATGTCATGAAGTGAAACAGTATTAGAGCATGAGGCAATTTACCTAGCTATGTGGTTATCGATAAAGATTTAAAATTGATTAGTACATGTCGAAGGATATTCAATCAAAGTAAAGAAACCAAGGATTTTATGTCCAATAGTTCGTGTCATCGTGTAGTGTTGCATGATTACAGCGATAACGAATCAATATTCATTTTCTACATTCATGGCGTATAAATCCAACATCCGAACCACTATATACTAGTAGTACATGGAAGTAGGCAACATATCTTACTCACTATAATCCATCTTTACCAAGGATAAGATTGTTGTATGTGCATTTACAATATCTTGGAACGTTAGAGCACGAGTGTCTACAAGAGCAACTACGCTGACTCTTAGACCATCATCCCATTAAAGAAAATAGAGTCTGATCGCAGAATCATTTGTAATTGGAAATTCATTCATAACATGGATATTCGCTAGCGGTCAGTGTAAAAAAAAAAAAAAGGATTATTCACTCCTTCTTCCTAAACTATCTGATTTCATTAAATTAATACCCCATGAAAGAAGAGCAAGACAATATCACTATCATTGTGCAGTTTTAAGCCATTCTGTTGAATGCAATATCGGCCGACGATGATGCGCCATTACAACGCTGTTCCGTTCAGCTATGTTACACAATTGTCATAGTTACTGCAGGCATCCGGAAATTATTATGATTTTGCTGCTTCATTTAGCTTTGAAGTATCCTTCAACGGTAATGAGTTATTTTATAGCGACCATTTTAGCATGGATATATACGCCGACACTAAATGATTGATATCGAAGTGATATCCGGTGTATAGAACAGTAGGTTAATATAATACTGTACGCCATTGAATTGATTCTAATTAATTATTATTATCGGCACCCACTGTTCCAATGCCGGTGCCGGTAGTCTTCATTCACTCTCCAATTTCTCATCAATCCGCTATTAAGAGGAGATTTCCTAGTATTCCAGTAGACGCTTTTAATTTACGGATGCAACAGATTTTATTATCCTATCATGAACGGATCGTTTCTCCTTGTAGATATTTATTATTTTCGAATTGAAATAGGCAAGGAAGGAGAGTACAGAATATGACAGTTTTAAAGACGAAAAGAGGAGATTTCCTAGTATCCCAGTAGGCATTTTTTAATCAACAAATGCAACAGATTTTGTTACCCTATCATGGACACATCATTTTTCCTTGTAGACATTTATTATTTTCGAATTGAATAGGTAAGGAAGGAGAGTACAGAAAACGACAGTTTTAAAGACGAACAGAGGAGATTTCCTAGTATCCCAATAGGCATTTTTTAATCGACAGATGCAACAGATTTTGTAACCCTATCCAGGCCCTATCATGGACGCATCATTTTTCCTCGTCGATATTATTTTCTAACAAGATAGGCAAGGAAATAGAGTACAACATAGGACAGTTTTCGGATCGAAGATGATGGACATGATGGAGTAGTGGACGATGACCCACTAGACGTACAAGCATACAGACAATCTATGAGCAAAGAATTCTTCAAGATGTTGTTGCTAGACAAGACCAACAGTGTAAAAATGTTGCTGGCCCAGTAGGTAAACAGAGCTGCTAATGATCACACAAATCACAGATCCTAGTTTGGATTGTCTCTCTTTCTATCGACATGTCTACTGTACACTCTATCCATGCCAGTGCACAATGATATTGATGATGAATGTGGACTGCAACCATTCTGTAACAATGTCTCGTCAACTCTAGAAACTCCCAAAACTGGAGTACATACACATTCATTATAGGTGGATTAGATTATTAATAATAATAAAAGCGATGAAGTAGTTAAACTTTCAATTCTTGGTTTAAAGTCAATCACTTTGAATAAATGGAAGAACATATAACATGATTTTCATTAAGAGATGCT